TCGATTGGTAGTTGTGGAGTGTAAGTCTAAAGCATTGTTCGAAATACTGACGAAACTATATCTGTGAGGGTTATTTTCGACACGAATTCGAAATGAAGGTACCAAGGCATTTGAAATTTAAACGTGAGCGGGATATTGGAAATTCAAAATACCTAAGCATTGGAACATTCGAGGACGCGTGGAGGCTAGAGGGAAGTATTGCTCTGCATGATTCGAACGTGGCAGATTCTGATGACAAGACCGTTATGGTCGAAATAGTATAAATAGAGGTCTTAGTGTTAGGATTGTGGGTGTCATATCTATTGTACAAATCCAATAAACATTCAAAATACCGCATGGATAGGGAAACGAATGCTCGAAAGATGTACGTATGATAACACCAGCATTTACAATTCAATGAAAACTCTTTACATTTTCCAGTTTTGTCTTTTATTTCCGTTTCATTTTTGCTTCAAACATTTTACGTTTTCTGCCTTTACATTAAAGCCTTTGCATTCGAAGTCATTTATTCCTTTCTGCATTTAAATATTTTTCTTATGTTCGAACCCTCTAAACATTTAGTAACTTTTGCATCCACAAATCTAATCCTGCCATTTACCCAATTTTAAGTCTTTAAACTTTTTTCATGAACATTCCTAATACCATATAGAAGTTATCCTTCGAACCATTCAGTATAGTAATCGAAGTGGAATGGATATCTTAGAAACAATTCTAATTTGAAGTCCTGAATATGAATACCAGTTTTACAATTAGACTTAACCAAACAACCATGTTCCATAGGATCAATCTAGTCGATTCTGCAAGTTACCAGAGAAATTGAATAACAGTCATTAAGTTTATTCGATAGTTTGGAAGACTAGCGCTTGTTCACCAGAAATCACTGTGAACACCAATACTACAATCAAAGTGGATTTTCCGATTGGATTATTTAATAGTGCAAATAAATTGAAACCGTGCATGAAGCATGGGAGGAAAGTTGATTCCAATATTAATAATTCTCTACTAAGCAAATAAGCTAAAATTAAAGATGACCCAAGTGAGGATATTAAAATTCTAAGAATATTTTGATATAATTTATTTTTTAGTTCCATAAGAACTAATCAGGGGTACCTGAAATTTATGAAATAAAGAGATCTCGAAAAATCATGTCATAAATGAAATATGATGGAATCAAAATAAAGTCAATATTGACAATATCTTTGGATGAAATATTGCGCTAAATATGATTAATGATAATGAGGATCGTGAATCAAATTCTACCAAAGATTATAGATAAAGTGAGAGTTGGCTAAAATGAATAGATCCAAATGAAGAAGAATTAAATTCACTTTACAAGAGACTCATTTTGGACTTGTAGTCCAAATATCTCGAGGTGTGAAACCAATTGGATATAAACAGGTTTTTTTTGTGAAAAAGCAGAATAAGAATATAAAGCTTGATTTGTGGCTCAATGATTTTCACAAAGACCTAAGATTGACTTTGATGAAACATATCCACCTGTAGTAGATTCAATTAGTTTTAAAATTTTAATTAAGCTCGTAACACATGAAGGACTTAATTTGAACATGATGGAGATTGTGACATCTTACTTATACGACTAACTTGATAATGACATTTATTGAAACTCACTAAAGGGTTTAATATCTCAGATATAGATAATTTTGGATCTCGAGAAAGCTACTCCATCAAATTGAACAGCTGTCTCAAAGAATATTTGTTAAGGGAGAGATATATAAATAAATATATATGTCATTGTATTTTTATGAAAAGGGTCTAGAAAATCATTTTCTATAATAATTGTATATGTGGATGACATAAAATTATTGAAACTCTTGAAGAGATTCCAAAATTTATAAATCTCTTAAAGAAACAGTCTGAGATGAAGGACATAGAAAAGACAAAGTTATGTCTATGTTTACAAATTAAGCATTTGAATAGTAGAATATTTCTACATTAAGAACCTTATATAGAAAAGGTGTTAAAACATCCGTATATGGATAAATATTATCTACCCCTACGATATTAGACCATTGGATTTGGATAAGACTCTTTCCGACCTCGAGAAGATGAGGAAAACTACTTGTTTTAGAAGTACCATATCTTAGTGTAATTCAAGTACTGATGTATCTTGCTAAGTATACATGCCATGGTATATCAATTTCTATCAATCTATTAGAAATATATATTTCTTCACCTACACAAAGAAGTTGAAACAAAGTCAGACAAATATTTTATTACCGTAAAGGTTTATGTTACTTATCTGATCCTTATAATGGTATATCACAAATATGTCACTTGTTTACTTGTGGAGGTACAACAATTTCATGGAGATCTGAGAAACAACTCATGGCAACAACTTCATCAAATTCATCATAACTATTTGCACTACATGAAGTCACTTCCAAGAAGAACTTTTAAGCAACTACTACAAAGAATATTATCTCACATATAAATGTATGCATGAGGGGGGAAAATAAATATGCTCTGCACTCTTTTTTCAGTCACCATAGTTTTGTCCCACTGGATTTTTATGGAAAGGTTTTTAACGGGGAAATTCTCATTCAAAGGATATTGTATTTTTTTTTCTTCATTAGATTTTTTCCCACTGAATTTTTTTAGTAAGGTTTTAACGAGGCATATCCAAAACAAACATCCAAGAGGAAATGTTATGAATAATTGGATGATTTGTCTCCCAATAACTTCATTCTTTATTTAATCAATTTACATTTATTATATTGTCTATGTGATGTCCTATAAATATGACCAATCTCATTGTATACAATTACACTGATGAAATAATACATAATTATTTGTATCTTTCTCTCTTCTTTCTCTTTATTTTATAACATTTTTAATATTATTTTGTTGTAATTTTTTTAGATTTTAAAATATCACTTAAATTTAATATTATTTTAAATGAAAAAAATTTAAAAGTTTATTTTTTTAAAAAAAAAATGTGATTTTGATTATATTAAAAGTTTTAATGGCAATTATTTAAATAATTAGATGTTGAATTTTTTTTTAATTTATAAAAATAATTGAAAATATTTTTTTTAATTCTCATAAAATCATTAAATAGTTTAAGATAGGTTAGAACTTTATTGTATGATAAATATCTAAGTTAAGAATTGAAATCAGAAACCTGATCTAATCCTAAAATTAAAATATGGAAGTGATTGTCATTTTAAAAAAAAAATAATCTAAGAAAGAAGAAGTCCTTGAAAAATTTAATAAGTTAATTCAAATGTTGAATGTTGAATGTATACTTTAAGAATCCTAAAAGAATCATCATCAAGTTCATCAAAGAAATTTTTTTATTGAAGGAATAGTGAAATCAACTTTATGATTTCGTTTGAAAGAATAATTTTGGTAGATGAATGATCTTCCAAAGAATCATCATCTACTAATGAAGAAGATTCATCAAAGATGATGTTTATTTCGAACAATGAAGAAGTTTCGGTCAATAGAATATCTAAAAGAAGAAATGATGGAGGGTTTTATAAATAATGTCAAATGGAATCGAATTAATTCAATTGAAAAATGTAAGTTCTACCATAACCAACCAAGATAATCAATTTTTTTTGCCCGTATGCACTTTTATATTTATATATAATTATTTTTTAATTATTAAAAATAGAATCCAAAAAAGAAAAATCAAAATTCAAAATTAATTAATTCATTTTTTTATTAAGAATCCATTTTTATTATTTGTGTTAGGTCTCTAAAAAGTCGAACTAACCCTAAGCCTAACTGTTTTAAACTCTTTTTACTAATGAATTACATCTACAATATAAATGTATTATTATTAATGAATTACATCTACAATAATTAATGTAGTATTATTATTGTACAGCTTAATATATATTGACTTCTAGTGAGAAGCAAAACAGTGAGAAGCAAAACAGTTTGTCTCCATAATTTGTAATTTTGCATTTGTAATCAACTTCCATATTTAGTTCCTATCATTTTGAAGCTAGCTAGACAAGTAAGAATAATTTTTAAGATGAAATTAAAAATGTATCAATTATTAATATTTATTACAGTAGAGTTTAATTTATTATATTTTAAAACAAATATAATAATATAAAAGTATTATTATAATATAAATTAGAAAATTTTCAATTTTAAATTCGACATTTTTATATTTAAATTTAATGGTAAAGTTTACCATTAAGATCAAATTTACTAAAAAAAACGTCAAACAAAATTTAATTATTATTTTATGAATTCCTTTTGTTGTAAATATATATGGATTGTCAAAGGAGTAAAATTATGTCCTGGTCATAAAGTCTAATTCAATTATTAAAACACTCATACATCTAATTTGAAATAATAATAGAAGATAAAAATTAGAGGTATAAAAAGATATGCATATAAATGAACAATTAAGAATAGTGAATCCAGAATTCAAACAAAAATTCTTGATAATGTGTTCGGTTGAAAATTTTAACGAGGTAATGTCATGTTTTGAGACAATTGAAAATGACTTTTACCAAAATATAAATTTATGGATAAAAATATGAAAAATTATTAAAATGATAGAAATTTATAAAATGTTATATTAAAGTTAAATTAAAAGAATTTCAAAAGACACCTAAGTGAAAATTTTGAAATTACTCTCACATTGTGAACGTCAAATAGTTTATTATAATTTTTTCAAATTTTCTAAGTTGGTCCCTATATTTTATAAAAAAATTAAATTGATCTCAACTTTTCAAATAAATTGTATATTAGACTTTCATAATTTTCAAATTTTACAAATTGACCTTTTAAATTTCAAGATTTACAGATTAGTCCATATTTTTCAAATTTTAAATTTGACCCAACCTATTAAATTTTATAAAAATGACTCAAAAAATCTATCAATGAATGATTTTAGAACTATGTTTATAAAAAATAATTTAAAATGAATGAATTTCAATTGACCATTTAAATTATTTAAAATTTTAAATTCCTTAAAAATTTTCTAACTTCCTTATCCAAATCCACTCTAGTCTTCCATGATCATGATCAATGTACAAGCTTCAACAGTCATCCAATCTCTGGGAAAACTAGAAAGAAAAAAGAGAAAACTATTCAACATTCACACAATGATTCCTAAAATTCATGCTTCATTTGGTGTTGTATCCTCCCTGATTTCGTGTCTCTGCAGTTCATACTCAATGCTCTCTGTAACAACTTTTCAAAGAGGTTCTTCAACTTCTTAAGTGAGAGAATGTCATAGGTTTGTAATGGTAACGGCAACTGCACTATAATATGTCTTATTTTGACATTGCACTTGTTGGAATTGGATGATACTCAATAATACCTCTATTTTTTAACTTTAAAGTGATACCAAAATCGATCTCCTACAACTGCAATTGAGAGAGGGTTAGAACCACTTGATCCTAGAACTGACTCTCGAACTGAAGTAGTCAGACCATTAGACCAGATACTGATGGCGAAAACGAAAAAAATAAAAATCAAAATCAGCCCAATTCAAATATTTGTAACTCAAGCTATGGCCTGCACCTGACCAAAAAGGTCAAGTGAGAAATAAATCCAAAACTCAGCATCTGCATGTCTTTCATGTAATCTCGTGTCGGTAGCTATTTCTCTTCGTATTACAATACTAAAAAGATTCCTATGAAAGTAATGATTTTATAAATATAGACATTTTATGAAGCAAATATAAATGTAATTAGCAAACAAATCTATATTAAACTAAATATGAAAAGTATAGGTGTGAGTTGTAGACTAATTTGGACAGGCGAAGAATCAAAAATTCCATAAGGAATCTAGAGGTTGGTTTGATCCTCCTAGAACTGTCGGCCTAATGACGGGTTTTTTGGTTGTCCGGGTTGGTCTTATGAACTGGATCTGTATTTGCTATATGTTTTTGTTCGAAATCTAACAAAATCTATGATAAATTTCTATCAATTTTGATGAACAAGATTGATATCACCACATAATGATAATGAATTATATGGAAGAAAAAGAAAAAAAATACAATTATTTTCTACAGAGTTTCTCTGTCCACAAACCGTGGAAAACTTTATTATTCATTTGCAACTGCAAATTCTGCGAATGAATGAATTAATTACAAAAATAAGGATTACTCCCTCTATTTATAGATTTAGGTTAGCTTGCTCCCTAAGTCAAAGCTCAAAACTATGAAAGCCCAAAATATTTATTTTGGAACTAAAGCAAATCTATTATATTTTAGACCTAAATCAAATCTTATTTATTCTAGATCTAAAACAAATATGTGTGTACCAAACTCTTTTCACACTTCTAAATTAAATCAAATCTTTTCGACATTCCCTTGTCTCTGTCGAACAAACTGCTTTGACACAAGGAATTACTTTCAACACACCACCTAATTCATTGTGTCTAAGTTATCTATATTCATCATAACTCTTAGTCTTCTGAACACTTCGACCTGCACATCTTCGTCATGATATTTGCAATCTGATTCTCAGTTCTGCAGTGTTCCAAGTTCATTTTCCCATCTGCTACCTGCTCTCGAAGATAGTGGAACCTCATTTCGATGTGCTTGCTTCGACCGTGAGCTATCAGATTATTCATCAGGTTGATAGCAGACATGTTGTCGATCTTCGTGGTAATTGCTCCATGATCTTTCCTTGTTATCTCTTCGACCAAATTCACCATCCAAGCTGCTTGACATGTACAAAGAGAAACGACTATGTATTCTGCTTCGCATGATGGTAATGCCACTACTGGTTCCTTTCTCGAACTCCAAGTAACTGGTGCACCACCTACATAAACACATATCCTGTTGTGGATTTTCGATCCTCAACATCACTACACCAACTCGAATCAGTGTACCTACTAACTTGTATTATTTTCCTTTATCAGTTGTAGGAAACAAAATACCATAGTCGAGAGTTCCTTTGAGATACCTTAGTATCCTCTTCACCGCTGCTAGATGTGATACTTTTGGCTTCTGCATTAATCTAGTTACCATACCCACACTGTATGCTAAGTCAGGCCTCATATGACAAAGGTATCTTAATGACCCAATAAGTCTTCTGTATTGGGTTGGGTCGACATCATCTTCTTCTCCATCTTTCGACAGTTGCAGTCTTTGTTCTGCAGGTGTCGAAGTCGAGTTGCATTCTAGCCACAGGTGCAAAAACTTCATCGAAGTTGATTCCTTCCTTCTGAAGAAACTCTTTCACCACTAGCCTTGTTTTGTGTCGAGTTATTTCCCCTTTGAGATTCATCTTCACTTTGTATACCCACTTGACATCAATTGCCTTCTTGCCTTGAGGCAATTCTACAAGTGACCAAGTGTTGTCTTTGATGGACTTCACTTCTTCGTTCATTGCTTTCACCCACTTTAAATCTTTCAATGCTTCAACTGCATTGACAGGTTCGACATCTGCATAAAAAACATAATACATCAGCTCACCTTCGTTATCAACCACATCATCTGATGTAATCACACAATCTTGCAATCTTGCAGGCATGTGTCTTGTTCTCTGAGATCTGCTTGGTCATGGTTGATCTATAACTATTTCCTCTTGTCGAACTTCTCTTTCGACTTGAGTCTCTGGTTTTTCAAGTAAGATTTTCACTGAATCTTTCTTGACATTTTCAGTCCAATCCCATTCTTTAAGCCCATCTATGATCACATCCCTGCTGATCACAATCTGCTTGTTCACTGGATCGAACAACTTGTAACCTCTTGTCGAATGATATCCTACTAGGATCATTTGACTCGACTTGTCATCAAGTTTTCTTCTCAACTGATCTGGCACATGTCTATGTGCAATAGATTCAAATACCTTCAGATGACTTAAGCTAGGCTTCACACTAGACCAACATTCTTCTAGAGTAATTCCTTCTAGCTTCTTTGTCAGACATCTGTTCAGTATGCATGTTGCAGTCGACAGTACTTCACCCCAAAACTCCTTAGGTAAATGTTTGTCTTTCAACATACTTCTCACCATATTCATGATGGTTCGATTCTTCCTTTCTGCAGTTCTATTCTGCTGTGGAGTGTAGGGTGACACCACCTCATGCACAATCTCTTCTTTCTCACATAATTTGTCGAAGTCCTTCGACAAATATTCTCCACCACCATCAGTTCTCAAAATTTTGAGCTTTCGAACATTTTGTCTTTCAGCCATAGATTTAAACTTGGTAAATACCTCGATCACTTCACTTTTCTTCTTGATCAGGTAAGTCTACAACTTTCGACTGAAATCATCTATGAGCGTGACAAAGTACTTATTACCTCCAAACGAATCCACCTGGATTGGTCCACATACATCAGAGTATATGACTTCGAGAATAGCCTTTGCATCCTTGCTGAAGCTATTTTTGTGCTGCTTCGCTTGCACACTTCCTCACATACCTCGTTTAGAATGTCGATTTTTGGCAATCCTGAAACCATATTTCTTCTCTTCAAATCTCTGATGTCTCTGAAGTTGAGATGGCCTGGTCGATAATGTCATATCCACTCATCTCTGCTAACTGCAGTCGAAAGGCACTGATGCTCCATCACATTAAGTTCGATCTTGAAAGTTCTATTCTGAGACAAGAGCTTTCAAGATTAACCTTTCATTCGTGTCGACGACTCTCATCATCTTGTCTTTGACCAACACTTTGTGATTCTTTTCGACCAACTGCCATATGCTGAATAAGTTGCTCTTCATGCCTGGTATGTACAACACATTGGAAATTACTGACCTTTTGCCATCTTTCCTCATAATCAAAACATCTCAAATACCTTCAGCTGCTAGAGTATTGTCATTTGCGAATTTTACCATGTTCTTCATTGAGAGTTTTAGGTTGACAAACCAATCTTTCCTTCTAGGCATGTGTGATGAGCATCCTGAATCCAAGTACCACTGATCCTTGAATTTTTCTTCATCTCTTGTTGTGACCATCAACAACATCTCTTCTTCTTCATGTTTTGCAAACTTTGCATCACTTTCTTGATGCTTTCGCTTTTCTGGACAATCACTCGGATAGTGATCATACTTCTGACAATTGAAACACTGAATGTGACTCTTGTCAGTTTTCGACCACCACCTCTTCCTTTATTCGCAACACCACCTTTTTGGTTGCCTTGGTATGATCTTCTCTGATTCGACACGTTTTCTTCGTGTTGATTTCCTTTATCGGTCGAATTGTTGTATCCACCTTTACCTTTGTTGTCGGACCACTTTCCTTTGCTTTTCTTGTCTCTTGTTGATTGAGCCTGCAAAGCCACATCACTCTTCGACTTGTCTGCAGCTCTTTCAGTCATTCTTTGTTCATGAGATTCAAGTGTCCCTTGAAGCTCTTCCTTCGACATAATTGACATGTTCTTCGACTCTTCTATGGTAACTACCACATGGTCGAACTTTGGAGTCAAAGATCTTAGGATTTTTGAAACAACATCTCTTGTTGTTAACGTCTCTCCACAAGTCTTGATTTGATTCACTAGTTTCGTAACCCTAGTGAAGAAATCAGATATACTTTCGTTATCTTCCATCTGAAGCAATTCATACATTCTTTTATGAGTTTGTAATCTCACCTCTTTCACCTACTCAGCGCCTCCAAACAATTTCTTAAGAATCTCCCAAGCTTCTTTTGCAGATTCTACATCACTAACCTTTTCGAAATTGTCTGGGCTGATACATTGGTGAATTATAAAAAGAGCTTTATAATTCTTCTTCTTCGATTCTTTGTATTCTGCTTCTTCTTCTTCTGAAGCGTCTTCATCAAGCGGTTCTAATCCATGTTTCACAAGATCTCAAAGACCTTGAAAGCAAAATATAATTTTCATCTGTTTGCACTAATTCTCATAATTATCTCCTTTAAGAATTGAGAGACTTGCTGGAAAATTTCCATTAGCATAATTCGTCGCCATCGTGATCTTCTTCTTCCCCGGTCGTTCTTGATCGTTATTCCCTTGAATCACTCAACCGGAGCTCTTGATACCAGATGTTGGAAATTCACCAAAACCTATGATAAATTTCTACCAATATTGATGAACAAGATTGATATCACCACACAACCTTGAATTATATTGATGAATTAGTGTGTCTTAGAGGTTGTAACGTTAGTCACTTGCAGTTAGCTTGTGCATTATAATAAATCACTTTGATTATTGGATTAAGTCCTTGTTTGATAAGGCGAAATCACCTTGGCGGGTGGACTAGACTAGCTTGATAGTTTTCAAGTGAACTAGTATAAACATACCTTGTTCTTT